AGAGAGAGAGAGAGAGAGAGAGAGAGAGAGAGAGAGAGAGAGAGAGAGAGAGAGAGAGAGAGGAGAGAGAGAGAGGAGAGAGAGAGAGAGCGAGACGAGAGAGACGAGGAGAGGAGAAGCGAGGAGAGAGAGGAGAGAGAGAGAAGAGCAGAGAAGAGAGCGACGAGAGAGAGAGAGCGACGAGAGAGACGAGAGAGAGAGATAGAGAGGAGAGAGAAGAGAGAGAGAGAAAGAGAGAGAGAGGGCGCAGTATGGGAGAGCAGAGAGGGAGAGAGAGAGACGAGAGAGGAGAGATTTCTCTCTCTCTCTCTCTCTCTCTCTCTCTCTCTCTCTCTCTCTCTCTCTCTCTCTCTCTCTCTCTCTCTCTCTCTCTCTCTCTCTCTCTCTCTCTCTCTCTCTCTCTCTCTCTATCTATCTATCTCCTCTATGTCTATGTCTGTTTCCTAGAACTCTCTCACTCTCTCCATCTCTCTTGTCCTTCTCCTCTATCTGTCTCTCTCTCTCTGTCACTCAGCAACAACGAAATAATGTCAACGACGATGACGAGACAAACGCGGGGCCGCGTCGTCACGGCGACGGCGAGGTGGTTGCCGCGGTGATCACGTGTTCTCGGTAACGCAGGCGACGTAGTAGTTGTTGAAGTTGAGGCTCTGCAGGAGAATGTAGAGGTGTGGTTGGTAGCCACGCGATGCCAGCTTGCCCACCACTGCCAACAGAGGAACAGTGCGAAAGGAGATTAGAGTTAGATCGTGAGCATATATATATATATATATACACAGGGTGCGAAATTAACGCGGGTCCGGAGTCATTTACTGTCGGACTCCCTGATTTGACATATCCGTGTGACTCCCTGAAAATTCTGCTATACTAACTACTTCGTTCCAGAGAACGGCCTCGCGGAATTACCCTATTTTTGCAGCAAATCTTTAATTTTGAACTTCAGACTGGGGACTCCCTCATTTTGCTGCGGACTCCCTCTTTTTGAGGGCAGGGAGTCCGTTGGATTCCCTTGTTCAAAAGTTAATTTCTACCCCTGTATATATATATATAAATATAAGTTAAATAAAACACATGGACACCCATGAAAATAAATGTAGAAAAATAGAATAAGGTGTTAAAATTTAACAGTTAATTTCTTTCTTTCTATAATTATATTTATATATGCGTGTGTTATATGGGCGATCCTATCTGTAAAGGGGCCAGGGAATCTTCATGTGTCGTGGAAGAAGGTGGTTTTACTGTATTCTATCTTCGATCTAATTTTGTTCTTTCCCTGTCCTACCAACATCCCTTCTTCCTGCTCACTCATGCTTACATTGATTCAGGAAGATCAAGTGTTGTTGGAAGGTCTCGTAGAACACCTTCCACATCCCACCCCTCTCCCATCACCCCACCCCGCAAACATACGCGTTTCTCCATCCATGCTTACATTGATACAGGAAGATGGAGTATTGTTGAAAAGTCTTGTAGGATTCCTTCATCTTATCAAACGCCGGATGAATCATCACTCGACCCGTCGGATCCGGTTTCCACGGCAACGAGGTCAGCTGCACGCAGAAGGTCAGGATGAGGGAGAAGATGTCGCGTACCACCTTCATCACCGGGGATGCCTTCTTATTCAACAAACACCTGGGAAGAAGAAGCAGCATACACGACGATAAGCCAGTTTATATATAGCTAGTATATAAGCAGCATACACGACGATAAGATTAGCATCATCGCACCAACATTCTTATAATTTGCATTTTATGTCATTTCGTTTTGTCATTTGTTTTTTTTTGTTTTTTTTAAATCGAAATACTTCACTACTATTAATAATTAAATTATTAATAACTAATAAATAAATTAATAATAATTAAATGCCCTGTAAAATATTCTGGCGATAAATAAATATATCTAATGATATACCAAACATCTATATATACCCCCCCCCCACACACATCTATACAGGAATCTATCAATAGGAATATCTACGTAGGAAATAGTACGTAGGAATCACGCGTGATATCTAGCCAGTTTATATATAGCTAGTATATAAGAAGCATACACGACGATAGGATTAGCATCATCACACCAACATTCTTATAATTTGCATTTTATGTGATTTCGTTTTGTCATTTGTGTTAATTTTTTTTTTTAATCGAAATACTTCACTACTTGCTTACTACATGCTTAATTAATAATTAAATTAATAATAATTAAATGCTCTGTAAAATATTCTGGCTATAAATAAATATATCTAATGATATACCAAACATCTATATATACCCCCCACCCCCACACACACACACATGTATACAGGAATCTATCAATAGGAATATCTACGTAGGAAATAGTACGTAGGAATCACGTGATATCTAGCGAGTTTATATATTTATATATAGACATATACATCATATATATATATTTATGTTAGACAGTCGCTGAAATATATACTAGCTATATATAAACTCGTTAGATGTCACGCGTGATGCACTCGGCCGAGGATAACGA